AGCTMTWMACTTTTGGCTTAACTCTTAAGAAKATTTTAGAAGTAGTGATTTYTGCTTGACCTTAACTACCTTAAGGTATTGGTGAGTATTTCAGTACGTTTACTAATTCCGAAAATAGAAACTGCTAACGGATTTTAAGATGAATTTCAAAGGAAAATGTAGAATACATGGCCGTCATCGAATACAACACACATTATTAAAGGTGAAATATGCCTAAATCCTCCCCAGATATTCCCTCACGTGATACAACGATGTTTTCCGTTTAAAATCCTTGACGGACAACATGACATCTCTCGTGTTTGGGGATTTAAACGGCTCCATTTTGCAAAGAAAAACGTATCGTCTCTCCGGTTAGAAGCAAACGGTTTATTATTTATGCCCGACAGGTGAAATATATCAGGGAATAGAAAATGTCTTTTTTCTGTTGGCATTTAATTTGAGAAAAAAAATACGAGCTGGGCAATTGAATGAAACTGATCCCCTTTTCTTTTCAATTTGATGTCGGTTCGGTTTTGCTAAAAAAGTAACAGAAGACGGAAAGTTTAATGAAACAAGACACTCTTTTTGGAATTGTATGTTTTGAGTTTATGCATCAATTGTCTATTAATTGCTCTGCTAAAAATTGTCCACTAATTCTGGTAGGATAATCTCTTTTCCCGGAGAAACAATGACCGAAAAAGAACATTGAAACCGATTGGAAAATTTAATTCCACTTAATAACGCCCCAGCGGTTACATTCTCGTCTCATCCCAAAGTAATTAATCTGAATTCATAAACTAGAATTAATTTATTAGAGTAGGTAAATACCTACATGTACCCGCTGGTTGCCTTTTAGTCTAATTCACGTTTAAGGGCCGCATAAAGTACATTTCATATTTCCGGAAGGGTTGAGAACTGTAATCTGCTCGAATTTGCATTTAAATGTTTGAATTAATTGGTTTTCGGTGTGCTTTGGGCCAGCTCTATCCTTCTCGATCTATTCCTCAGCGATTCCGTTTTTCGTCACCCAAAATAACGACATTTTATGCCATCAAACTTGTTAACACCAGCTTCTACGAACCCTTAAAAGCTGAAGAAGCAAAAATCTAAATCTAGTTTAATGCAACACGTAAATAGCATCATAGGAAAAAGTAATCAATCAAAGAAAAGGTAATATAAGCTGACTAAAAAAACGATCGAGCTGTGAGATTTCATCACCGCACATCCACATTTGCTATCAAAAAAGCTTTCTGTCCGCTTCTGGAGGATACACATGTTGCTAATATTTTGTTTGTATTTTACAAAGTTCTATAGAAACAACTAAATTTTTAAAATATAAAACTCTCTATAGCAACGTGTTTTCACTTTAACCACGGCACATTTTGATTGATGTCTTCAGTAGAAAGTTCAAATTATTGAAAACGGAATTGCGCATCTGCATATCCTCAAAAAGTAATAATAATTTCAACTGAAAAAGGTCGCCATTCGAAAATCCCGAAAATGTCTTTTGCACATTACATCGTTTCCTTAAAATGCTGCACCTTTTAAAGATTAACCCGCACTGCTTAGGACTCCAGACATAAAAGGCGAAATTCCATTTTCCCGAATGGCAAATCCACAGGTTTTCCGAGGAAAATCTGAAATTCAAAACTGCCAGTCTCGTCAGATCGTTATATGTGAAATTCCTGAGAGTAGTGTGAAGTGCCAACATTTCCATATGCCGGTTCCAAGGAGAAACTAAATATTTCTCGCTGTTTTTATTTCAGCCAAATGAAGAGAAATTCTGAAAGCTGCTGAAACTTACAATTTTGAAATAATTTGGGACCAGTAAAAACGTTAAAGGATACATTTTTTATTGAGAGTTTGTGAAACTATTCATTTGTCATGTTCATCATCAACCATTTTTTTAATACCGACCTGTATGGTTGACATCTGTTTATTAATTTTACAGACCACATTAATGTGACTACACTTTTAAAAAAATATTAGTCGTTTTATCACAAATAAATGTCGGTTTTTCCCGAACATCTCCGGCAGCAATAGAAAATTTTCAGCTTTTAAAACAGCGTTTTGTTCAGCATTAAAATATACAACTTTGCCCTAATTTCCCCGACGTATTCAACTCGTATACGTCTCACAACAACCCAATGCACCTCGAATTTTTAACACCCTGTAGGGGTGTTACATAAAATGCTTACCTGTATATTCTCCACTTTTACTGGAAGCAATACCATCTTTCTTCAATAAGCAACCGTATTCCTGCTTGCCATTGGGCAATAGTTTGTAAGGCTCATGGTATACTGAAGAATTCTCGCTGTCTGACTCTTCACCGTTGACATGACCTGAAATAAATCCATTTTTAAAATACAGATATTTGAATGTGCTTTCTCCAAGCTAAGCCCAGTTGAGACTCATGATGCTTAATAGGTGCAAAACCGATTGAGGGAGTGCCTACTTGTAACACAGGCAAAGGACAAAAGCCTTTTATTTAGATTTATTTAGAAATTAATTTTATTAAATATCTAAAGACTCGAATAAAGGGTCAAAACGTCGGTGATTTCGAGAGTTTAAAAGGAGTTTTTAATCCAGTCCCAAACCAGCCATTTAAGCATTCTTGCAGAATAAAATAAAATAGAAACATTCTTTAAATATTTTAAAAGAGAATAATAGTTTTATATGAAATAAGCTTCTCAGCTTCCCATTGAACCATTGAATACATAAAAACAAGATTATCCCCTTCGTTACGTCATAAAGGGATCTAATTATTTTGGTGGATGTTTTGCCAGACTATGACCCAAAATCGCTCAGATTGATTTAAAAGTGAATATCCGTAAAACAACATAATGATGCAGGAAAAATTGTTGGCTCTTACCATATAAATTGCATTTCTTTTGCTTCTTGGCTGTTCCATCAGCAACAATAGTACCATTTTTACTCTTCACTGAAATCCTCGACCTGGACAGGCCGTTATTGATAATCGGTGTAGACAAAGTTTTCAGATCCTTCATGTTGATGGTTGTGGGCTTGGTGCTGCTCGATACCAAGGAGGTGTGTTTGTGCAATAAAGCAACCTGCAATTGAAATATTCGCATCAAATCAGGCATCTTTAATCGATTTTTTTCCTTAAAATACTTGCCGTATGTACCTTCTTTTTGCCCCTTCTCACCATCAGGAAAACGGTGCAAACCACCAGCAGGATCACCATCGCCATCACCCCAGTGATAAGACCGATGTAGGCTTGACCAATGCTGGTTGGGCTGGTAGCAGGAGTTACTTCTTTTCGAGCATGTGTGGTTTCGCCACTGGTGTTAGGGGAGGCGGTTGACATCGGACTTTCTGGTAGCAGGTAGTACCTTTCCAGGTCATCAACAGTGAGGTTGTTGGAAATTAACACTGGAAAATAAGTCTGTGTTGGGATTTTTTTTATTCAGGTTTGTTGGCTGGCTGGAGCTTGTATTCTACTAAGCAGTAGAGTGCAGAAGTGCCAAGTTTCATTATCAACAAAATACACGGAATATTGCTTAATAATAATATAATGAATAAACTGATTTTCACATTAACAACACAAAAATTACACACAACGAACACCCCGCACAAAGATGAGAAGAGCAAAAGAAGACCACCACAAGCAAAAGTGTGACGGAACAAACGAATTATAAGTAAAACACGGCAGTTTCAACATTTATAAAAAGGTAAGAAATTCGCTTAAACCGTTAAACACAAACGGCTCCATATATTGTACGATAGCAACAGGAAATTTTAATAAATCAGAAAAGTTCTAGAATCCTAAGTAGAAAGGCAAATTCGTTGAGAAGAATGAGTTAAGTGAGCCTTTTCCTCAGTCTCTGTTTAAAATGTAGGCTCAAAAGTATGTATTTTTTTAAATTCCGGTTTGCTCTGATGATGTATTCTAAATGAATCTACATGAATATTTTTCTTGTTTAAAGATGCAAAATACAAATGTCTGTGTTTCACGTTGTATCATTGCGGTTTGCCGCCATTGGCGGAGGATGAGGAAACAACTGAGTATCTCAGCGCAAATAGCCGGAGGATTCTAGGATGCGGAGGCACCGCCATAAAGACATCCATGCACGACGATGTTTGTCTTACAAATTGAAGCTTCAGCGTGCCGAAAACGTCCGTTTATTTAGCTACAGGAACAATTAGCCTTTATAAATTAGATTCGACAATTGCCTAGGCACAAGACTGTGTATTTTAGCATCTAGGCGAGAGCCAACAGCTAGTTATTGTTTGTTGATAGAGCTATCTTTTACAGTGAGATCACGCAATATGGAATAAATTCGCCGCATGAGTTGGAACACATTCATTTACAATTTCGGGTTTTGTTTCGTTTAGCGATGGTTTTATTTACTCCATCTTCATGTCTTACTAATTTTTTTCCAATTTATTCTACTATTTTTTGTTTTTGAATTTATTCAGTATATTTGTCGACTGGCCAGGTTGGTACCCAGATCTGTCCCTATGAGATTTTTATTGATGGGGCTAACTGGAATTCAAATTTCACTTCAATAAAACAGCAATTTTTCGGAATATTCGGGTATTGACAGAATATTCGAGTGTTGCCAAACAGCTATCTGAAGCAAGCGCGAACCGCCCTAGAGTTAGTTAGTTAGTGAACGAGCTAGCGAATTAACGTTCAATAATAGTGCGATTACTGTTGGTTATAATTCGGGCCGTACTTATTAAATTGTGTTACAAACAGAGCGAGTTGCTTGATTCTATGGAAGCACAAAAAGGCGACAGTATTTATGAAAGAAAGATGACGGACTGGCAAGAATTGAGATCGAGAAGAAATTGGGGAATTTCGCTGGAGAAAAAGGAACTGATCAATGTAATGACTAGGAAGATCCCAGGATAACAAAAAAATGACAATTTGAAGATGGCCAATAGCTCATATTTAGATTTTATTGACAGTACGATTTTTAACATCATGTAAATTGATATGGCTTCAAGCTTTGTTCTTCACATGTTAAAAAATAGCTCAAACTAAGAATGAGAAATTTTATAACTAACACCCCTTATAAAGGAAATTTTAAAATCAACTAATTTGTAGTTGGGAAACTGCAAACATGTGTTTATTGTTATGTGCATAATTAGATTACAGTCCAGTATTTAGCTTCAGGTAGCCTAATGTTATAGTAATTATTACATAGCCAAGGGGCGCGAATATACGTAAATTATTGTTATTCCATATGGTCTTGCCTAACCCGAAGCACTTGGGCAGAACTCGTTGTTTACTCTGAAAACGTGTCATCTTGAACGTGTTGATTAGATTCAGGAAGAGTTCTGAGCGAGATCGAAGACAGGCTGCTGAAATGCAGCTCTAAAAATCGATGGCAATTGAAACGGGGTTCCCCATCAACGGGTTTAATCAAATATCGACTACTATTCACTTAACGAACTTTTCTTTCCCCGTCATTAAGTAACAATCTCACCTTTAATCGACGTCGCGAAAAGGAACGGGGGCTTTAATCGCACTTTTTCTCTATTTCCCTTTGATTTTCTTTCAGTCGAAATGTGTTTTCCGAGTTTTATTTCGGCGGAAAGCGCACAATTACAAATTTAATGCACCCGAGAACTTTGACTAAATCGGTAATGGATTGCTTCGCGTTTGAATCGAAAATCCAATTTATTTGTTTGACACGGATTGAAAGTTTTTAAGGGGGGAGCGACGCATTTTGTGTTCTAGGATTCAGTTGAAACTTCCGAATGCATTGATTATTGATGGTACACATAAATAACTTTCTCGGCTTTACTATTATCATCATTTCATAGGTATTGAGACATAGGAAACTATATCTAAATATTTATAGATATATAAGCTTTGTTAAAGCGGCAAACAGAAACAGAATACATCAGAACTTCGCAAAATCTATGCGACAAGCTTTAAGAACACACAAAATGGAAACAATCGAAAAAACTATAATAAATAACACATGTGCAAAGGTACTAGTTGAAAATTAAACAATGAAAAAGAAGAAATGAATAAGTTTAAAATCAGAAGAGAGAAAACATACATAAAACACAACACAACAACACGGAGATTTGGACGGACTATTGCTACATTCATACCTGCCTGCTCATACTGCATATGAGCAGGCAGCACCAAAAGTAGAGTACGTGCGAAAACTTTGGTTTGAAGATCAAAAATGGCACCCGACAAGGCAAATTTTTTCACAACTCTGGTAGAATATATGTCTAAAAGCAGATTAGACAATGAAGACACAAACGCGAATTGGGAAGAGTTCAATCAGCCACGTTTTGGCTACTAGCGAAAAAGTAGGCTTAAACATCAACTTTCCCAAAAGGCAATACATGACAAATTTAGTCCCTGCTGCGACCTCTGAATGGCAAACTTTCAATAAACCAAGAATAATAGTAAAAATTATTTGAAAATAATCTTCGAACTGGATACGAGGGGCCCAAGACCGAACAAACGTCTCAGCTTAAGAGAAGCTTATGTTCAGAAGTGGACGAATCAAACTGTTAGATGAGGATTATGCTGATGATGGCTCTAAAGTGCCCACGTAACCGTTCAACCCTCCAGTCTTTAAAACAATAAAAGTCCCTAAAAAGAAACAAAAAACGCAACTATTTAAAGGGATTGTAAAAAAAGTTGCAAGGAAGCAAAAACAAGGCAGGTTTTGAAATAAATGTATGCTTCACGTTCTTTTATCCGCTGCTCGACTTTTATGACAAAACATAACAATAATTTAAAACCACATAATACTAAAGATCGGTCTCCTATGAAAACCAAATCTGCGGCGGCAGGTGCAAGAAAGCCAGTGCCACCATTTTAGTCATTTAGTTAATGAAGACACCATTTATGGAGCGGTTTAAGCCGAATTTACGGCAGCTTTTAAAATTTTCATAATGCACACAGACCATTTCGGTTAGACATATTGCCGATATTAGGCGGATCGCTTATAATTTGAATATTTTATGAAAATTAATTTCCATTATGTATCGCTTTTGTTTCATTAACAAGACATTGTTGGGCATGATGGATGCTCCGATGTTAACCATACGAGGTTTCGGTATAAAGCCACTCCATTACTACTTCTTTTCTTTAATATGCAGTTATTTAATTTAATTTAATTTTGCCAGCGCTTGGATTTTTTGTTTGCAACTGATTTATATTATATGCAAATTATAATCAGGAAATCTGCATTAAGGGCTACAAAATTCGATTAGCCGTAATTAAATTTACTGATCAACATGGAGGAGATAAATGATGTTGACAAGTGATTTGCCAGTTTTGGTGTACTGCTGGACGTTTAGATTTTATATTGATTCAATAAATGCGATTTGGTTTATTGTTCGAATTTAATTTATTTTATTTGGCTTGCCAATTTAATATGCTATTTACTTCACCTGAAATGACAAATTGGAAATTAATTCCAATATAAAATTTACTGCAATTTTCTTTAAATATATGTACATACATGTACGTAATTCTGCTATAAATGTAAATATCAACTCGTTTAACGTTACATTCAGTAAATTTCAAATTAAATTCCATCAAATTTAAATAACTATTTATTTTTTATAATTAAAATTTAAGTGGCTTAACTTTAGTGAACCGAACATTATTAACGATCGCAAATGGTCAGCTTTTCGTTAAAAAATGTACGTTCATTTTGTATGTTTTCAAGTACATTTTCATCATCTAATAAAACATTATTAATGTTTTAATGCTCGAAAACATGATTGGAATTTTCCTGTTTTGAAAATGTTTCCTGATTCTAAATTAAACAATCTAACAAAACTTGGAAAGAAGATAGCAATCTAATTCAAAAAATTCCGTTGTAAATTCACACCTTTATTTTCATAGTTATTATTTACGTATTGTAAATTTCCCACTAACTTATTTTTTATTCCAATTCATCAATATAAATTTCAAAATCCCCAACTTATGTAAAATAACACTGCCGGATTGCGTCTTCCAAAAAATGTATTCCCGCTTTGATGAACGAAGGTAATATTTTATTGCGACACCTTAACCGTCTTTTGTCGTTGGCTAAAATAAAAATTCATTACGAAAATGTGGGAAAGTCGACGCGATCATTAATAAAAATTAAAACGTAATGAATATGGTCTTGGAATTATGAAGTTAAAAAACGTCATTTACCCAGAAATGATAATCCGGACCGGTGGAGTTTTTGTATGGTAAAATATACTTTCATTATTATTTAGTACACTTTTTAGAAACTTTGCTTAGACTGTACAAAAATGTATTTTACAACTTTACTGATACTTTGGACTCTTTAATTGAAAAATGGCACTCCGACGCAAAATATATCTGAACATTTACCAACAGGTAGTTAAAATGTTTGATATTTATCTAGCCATGTAAATAATAATCCCGTTGCGAAAACTGTGCTTTAAACTGGAAACTTTGGCAAAATGGCGCCCTTCATTAAGAATAAATATCAACAGCGCCGGAGGTATTTATCATAATTTTCAGGGTTTTATCTTAAGCTTACTTAACAATATATTTAGAGTTGGGTCATTATTTATACCTAGCCTGCTTTAAAGGGTATAGTGGTGGGTAAGGAAGATAGATATACGGATCGTTTATTACGTGAAACCCCCTGTTAATGAATTATAAACTCGCCTAAGCTGGGTATGTTGAAAATTATTTAGAAAACTTGTCCAGGCTGGCTAAATGTGCGCTCATCGCCGTAATAACTTTAACTGTCATAATATGGGAGTCCATCTAATATTAGAGCAGCCCGTCGGTTTGGAGGATTATTCCCTATGTAAATTGGGCCTACAATTTTGACCTCAGGGAGATAATAGTGGCCACTTGGAAAATGCACTATTCAGGCTTCCAGAGTGACCTCTATAAATGCGCTCTAAATTTAATAGTGCCAGGAATCGAAACTCTTGCAATGGGAATTGCTAACGACTGGCTTTCTGCAGGAACTGTTGAGTATTTGCCAAGTTACTGATGACAGTAGTTTAGAACTGAGTGAGATAGTTAATGATTCCTAAGATTCATGAGCAAAAATTGGAAACTGTAGGCTTCATGGCTAGGTTTTCCAGTAATTTTATCAAAAAATGTTAGTTTATAGGTTTTATTTGTGGTTGCTTCCATCAATGTTTCGAAGCTAAAATTTTGCGGTGTTCTCGCTACTGGGTTTAGGAAGGAAAAACGAGCTGATATCAAAGGTTAAACTGCAAATAGTCACCACTAACATGTCTAATGTTTCCAGAATTATTATAGCTAGAAGAACTGGCTTTGTAAAACGTTATCAAAAGGTTCAACTTTTTCCTATATTCTCTGAGTTTTTGCGCACCGTGGGTGGTCAAAAAGGGGTTTTTAGTTTTATTTTGTCGGAATTTTCAGTCTCCCCAGAAGGCTAATTCAAAGAATTGGGGTTTAACTCACCCGATAAATTCAATGAAGTGCAAGCGGATAAAATCTGTTGATAGAACATTTGAAAGGAAATTTTTGATACCGCTTATTAGAACTCAAATATAGTTTTCTTGATATGCAAAACTCACATGATTCAAAGGCCATTTCACTGATCAGGATCCACTGGTCGGCAAAGAAGAGCCGCAGTTTAATATACCTGGAAAAAGACAATAAAACTGTAATTAGATTTGAAATTAAATTAATGAAGTTGAATTAAAAGCTAGGGTTTTCTTTACCTCGCGGGTTTGTTTTTCAGAATAATTGTAACATTTCGAGCAGACTCTCGGGTACGATCGGAAGCAATCTCTACTTTAATTGGATTCGGTTGATATCGGTTTCCGTCTAGGCTAAACCAGACTTCTGCCTTTGAAAATACCTGAAAACAAAAAAAATATATTAAAAGCATTAATCAAAATTATATTTAAAAAATTATTCCTTTGCCAAATGACTTTCAATGCCAAAACCATCTGGGAGATAGTCAAACAACAAGGAAGCAGAAGCAAATAAGTACCGCGAATGCTGGAAGGAAGCATGAAAATTAATAACAGCGAAGAAAAGGGAATATGAACGACGGGCTTCAAAGAATTCTACACGGCAGTTTTGTTGGACAAATGAGGTTTTAAGACCAAGTGCATCCCGACATTCAAAATGATCAAGGTCCTATAAGAGAAATTGAAATGAAGACAGTGACACACAATACATAAATACTAACATTAGTTATTATGAAAATAAATTTGAAATATGACAAAAAACATGTATAAAGTATCAATCCAATCAACTAAGCTGGAGATACATGAAAAATTGTCTAAATCACAATCAAACGAACAGTAGCTAGTAAATGCTCTTCCAATACTATTTTTACGTCTTTTACAATTCCCCACTCTCCATAAACTCAAAAAAATCGAAAAAACAGTTAAACATAGACTGGCACAAAAAATATTGAAATGGCTCACAGCATAAAGCCAAAGTAAGCAACCATTATGTGAAATTAAAAAGCTGATTATTTGAAAACGTTTTTTTGTTAAATTACTGTTTCCGCTCAGGAAAGTTTCTATGAACACCGTTGCCTTTTCAATTAATTAGCATTACTGTAACTGCTGTATTCATTCTAAAGGTACATCAGCTTAATTAGCTCTTCCATTAATGACGTGGGGCTTAGGATTGCGTCGAAGAAAGAGGGAGGAGCGGAATTTCTAACTAGCATCAAAAGAACGAGAATCTTTCGAAAACGGCTTTCGATTATTTTGAGATCTACATCGTGCTATGATCATCTAATCGTGTTATGATTATTTTTTGTGTGCGACAATTGCAACAATCAACAAGCTTTTAGCTTAAAAAAAGACACTGTGACCAAGAAAGACGGAAAAAGTAATCTTTTTGAGCCTTTGATATTAATTTCTTAAATCATTTTTTGCACTTGTGCTTTAATGAATACATAAGAGTGTTTTTAAAAGTGATTTTCAATATATAATCTACACTGTGAGTACCAGCGTTCAAAATACAGGTTCCTGCTTGCAATTTTTCCAAAATTTCTTTAAAAGCTGACCAAAACATAGCTGAATGTTAATTTAGTTGTGTTAATAACTATAAAAAATCATAAACCGTGTTTGAAATAAACAATTTTCGAAAAAACCTAACAAAACAATCCGTATTGTGCGCTTTTTGTGTTTCGAGAAAAATTTTAGCGTTGCGCCTAAATAATCATTCGCCTTGTAGCGTATTAATAACTGAAGGAAACATCCCATCCGCGCTAAAAATGAAACATTTTGCAAATAAAAAATAATTAAAAATATATATATTTTGGTAGATGGTGAAGCAGAATATAAACGTTTTTGTGTATTGAAATTTTTGTTGGGAGTGGTTGAGAGAAAAGTGCAATGTGTGCTTACAAAACGAAAAAACCTTAGGAATGTCACCAAATTTTGTGGCAAAACATCCTCGAATGTCATTGAACAAACCAGATGTTTTGCAGTCGTTTTTGGTCCTCCGGAGGGCACTTCTTCGTCTAAATTATAATGAGACATAATTGAATTTCTTCAGGAAATTAAACGCTCTGTAAAATTTTCCCCTTTAAAAAGCCGAACAAAGCTCGTTTCGCAGGACAAAACTAAATAATTTGCCCGGATAATAAAGTAGTATTTACTTTGTCCTGTGCTCGAGACCAGGCAGCAGGAGGCCAGGACTTTAATTAAATATTTGACGGCTGATATTTGCTTTTTGTTCTGTCAGTGTACGTTGCCTGTTTTTTCACCAAAGGGGCTTAATTCGTTTGCGACAATTTTTATTGTTTCAAATCGTTTTATTGAAGCGTTTTATCGAAGTCTTCCGCTCTTAGCTCCCATTGTTTTGACTAAAGTTAATTAAATACATAAGCTGTAGTGAAAGTCGGAAAAACCAGTCACATAAAAGTACTTTTCGTGGGGGGTAAAACAAGAATATAAACAATCAAAAAACTTCTCAAATGCAATATAAAAGAACAGACAGGAACTTCCATCTAGATTGTGCACGAGTTAAGCAATCCTCACTTCTACACAGCTAGGGACGAAGGCAAAAGGAATTTTTTTCGCTTTTTACATAAGCCGAACGAAGAAAAATCTAATTAATATTTCAAAATATTCGTAAAAGGGAGCAGTTCTCTCGCCCGACCGAATATATCATCTAAAAGGGAATAAAATATCAATAACTTCCTTTTTATAAGGGCCTCACAAAGCACTGTGTAGCATGAAAATAATAACAATAATGGAAAACGGAGAGACGGAATGGAGAGAAATACATTTATGGTAATGGACAAAAGGGCAAAATGAAATTCGAAATTATATTTTGCGACTTTAATTTTTTCCCGTCCAGGTCCGGGGACGAAATGGATTGTTTATCTATCCATGCATTATGGATTCCGTCTGGCGACAATTTTTTATATATAGTTTAGATAAAAGCTTTTAAGGTATTAGGGCATATTATGTGAAAAGGTAGCCGAATTTTTGGGAATTATTTCTGATAGGCTTTTTCATATTTGGTATATATGGCAATGGAAACAAGATTTTGTAAGTCAGAATTTGTAAAAAAATGGATGGCAACGTACAAAATTTAAGTTTGAAAGTTTATGACTTCGAACAGGAAACATCGACTGAATCTTGCCTACATTTTTTTAATGGGTTTTTAATTATAATGAATCAAGTTGTTATAAAATTTGTTACAGAAGCAGGGTCGGCAAGCATAAAATGATGCCTGTGAAGCAAAATAATCGCCCCGTTCTTTGATGTTCCTGACTCTCATTTGTCGATATTATTTTCGGATATCGTTACACTAAAACAATGTTTCCGATCTTTCCTCTAAGATAACCAAAAACTCAGAGGTATTTTATACACATTTGAATTAATTTAGCCGTGCTAAACTATTTGTTAATATACTTTTTTTAGAAAGATTTTGAGTTCGGAAGTTATGGTAATATTGATATTAAGTAAGAAGTTTTTGAAAGTATCACCACCGTACCAGGAGGTTACAAGCCAAGGTAATATTCAAAAAAAAACTTTTTATTGATACAGTATAGAGAGAGCAAATCCTGTTGGCGATCAATTACAAAAAATTGTCACTTATCCTGTTCAGTTTACATAATGGTACTAGACTAATTAAACAATAAAATGTAATCTAATTCGAATGATATTAGCATTATTCTCTATCGTATTCGAAACCGACAACAAATACCCTCTAGTTCGGCCTCTGTATACAGATGTTAATTAATAATGCCCATAAAGCCGGTTATATTGCATAGTTTTGGCGATATTACATTTGGTACTATATTCATTTAATTTACTTTCCATTTTGGAAATTGATATTGAACGTAATTATTGCCGTGCCACCAACAGCTCTAAGTGAAAATAGATTTTCTCAATAGCTTTTCAAATACAATTGAGAAGTTTCTCGCCGTTGGATTTTTTACTCATGCAAGTTTTTAAATACGTCTTAAGTGGAAGAGCGAAAGAAAAATTCATTGTCACTGCAAGATTAGAAAGTAGTCAAATGGGCACAAAACCAAAGCCTAAATTCCGGACGGAAGGAAGTCATCTAAAGCTTGATTTAATTATAAAATTACATTTCTGCCAATTTTAGTAAGATTTTTTGACAAACTAATTTATGGGACTGTTTGAGAATGTTGGCAAGATAAATCGTGTGAGACTAGAAATTAGGAGAAGAATTAAACAAAATCCTATTATCAAACTGACATGTAATTTTATAAAGCCTCGCAGTCGCTTTGTAAATTTTTGTGGCCGTATTTGTGCTAATTCCTTTGCCTGTGTATGTTAGTGATCGGAAGTGTTTTATTCTCTTTATCGTTTCTGTGCTAATGTTTCGTGTGTGCTTTTGCGAATTTGTGTTTGTGTTCAATTGTAATTCCTTGGTACTTTTCAAAGTTTTTCAGTTTTGTCGTTTGGCCGTCTGCAGTCTGTTTTTAATTATGCGTTCATATAGTTGGCTCAGTACTGGTAGTAAAGTAATTGATCGCTAAAATTTCATATTTAATTCAACGTTCTTCAAACACCAAATCAAAGGTCAATTGCCACAAAAAAATGTGTATTCTCAAAGCTTTTATGCGTGTGAAGTAGTGGGTTGAGTTAACTTTTGTCAGAATCTATTTTCAACAAATATCAATCTAATATTGGCGAGCTTCGCTTTTTCAGGTCTCTACTTCATCGTTCCGAGAATTATTAAAGAAGAAAACAAACATATAAAAACTTGGCATGTTCCATTAAAGACCCGACCAACTTCGCTGATCCTACTTTGCAGGATTTGGATAAACTTTCTGACCGAAACTGGACCCAAACTTTAGTGAGTTGTTTCGAAAGGAACCCGCTAATCGGCTTCCGGAAAATCTGCTTATTAATAAATAATATTCCCTAATGGCGAAGTTCAGAGATTAAATCGCCCCTCCTCAAAACGGCTTTCGCCTACTGTCGGACGTTTGACTAAAAAAGTCCCAGCTAAGAACGAAAAACTATTTGTTTCTTGCTTGGGTTGTTCATGTTGATAATGACGTCAGGCCGGATGAAGTACTTAAAAGATTTAAAGAATACTTAAATTATTTGCTATAAAGGCTGGGCTTTTATTATGTTAGCAAATGGAGAAAAGTGAAGATCCAGTGAAGAGTCTAACGGTGGAGGAATTTTTAACTCTTTATGCATTTTTGTCGTTAAAACTTTCGATTCATTATTCTCTGTGATCAAATTTTCTATTAAATACGTTAAGACTACATTCAACAAAATTACCCACTTTTAAATATCATTAGCCGTTTAATTGAAATAATTATTATCTTGAATAGGAGGGCGTTATTCGAGTTCTCTTTGTATTTTTGGGGTTGTTTCAATTCAATTCGAAATTAAAAATTAATTGTGTCAGCAGTTTGCACCTTCGCATTGTTGACCCTATTTCCAAGAATAATTAGTAAAATTAAACGAACAAAGGGAATCGTTGATAATGAACCAAAAGCCGTTTAACAAAAACTCGAACATTATTCGTTTTGTCTGCCCAGCTTTGCCATTGTTTGATATTCTGACGAAAGAGACAAAAACACGCGGCAAAGAATTACACAATTTTCTCTATATAATTTTTAATTTAAATAAAAACTGGCGTTTAATTTAAAGTGAAATAACATTAGCTATAGTATGGTTTAACGGCTATTTGAGTATTTCTGTTTAAAAACTTCCCTCCTTCAGGGTAGTAGTAGGTTTAGTACATTAAAGAGCTACAAGCTTGCATTGTATAGAAAATCGAAATCAATCTCTTACCTGCACATTGCGGGTGAACATGTTATTGGCATGAAGGTAAACGGCATTAAATTCTCTAATTCCGTCGAATTCCACAGTGATTTCTAGAGGTTGACCGTTTCGCCCTTCGCTCGACCAACCAACCCATCTGCTTCCTGAAATAAAATTATTTGAATTCAGTAGCCCCAAGTGGGGCACTTTTATCTCACTTAATAAGAACCAATTTAACGCACTTAAATTTGCGTTCGCGGTGCTCTTAGCATGACGATGGGGATCCTGAACTGAATCAATTATTAAACAATATGCTGTTTAATCAAAAGAAAGCAAACACAGCAAAAACCCAAAACTTAACTAAAATATTGGGCGCGAGTGGCATGTAAATATAATTAAATAATTAACCATAGCCGTAATTAAAGTACTTCATTTAAAATTAATTTGGTCGGAATGGTTTCCGCTCGAAATTGGTTAAAACTTAACTAGGAAATGTTGTCCGTTTTTCCGCTCAAAATTCAACTCTCCAACCTTGCGGATAAAACGTTTTTATTTTGTTATTCGATAATTTAATACAAAATTCTATACAATTTTGCCGCTGGCATTAAAATGTTATGTATTCATAAAGAGCCCTTTCTCGTCGTTCAAATTTCAGGGCTTTAAATGCAATACATTTAAAGTCCTTTTAATATGATGCATTAATACAGTTGAGTTATATAGAATAGAATAGGGAGTTATTTTTTACATTCTATTGCGCACTGCAGTCCAGCAAAGAGGAAAATACATTCAAATCCCTCTACATTGCGAGCAAACATGTTGATAATTGGACTGAATTTGTATGGAAGAATAGATAGTTTTCCAACACAGCAAGAAAGTATAAAAATGTAAAATAGGTAGTGGTAGTAAAGGCGATATTTCTAACGAAATATGCATTTATTGCAGTGCCAAAGACGTTTACTTTTCCTGCACATCCATTTCCATCCGCTGCACAGTTATGGCAGTCGGCCGAAAAAGGCATTCTTCTTCGTTTTAATAACCATATAAATATCCAACTTGAGAAGAGAAAAAACGACATCGAAACGGGTCACATCAATAAGATATTTTAATGATCATTTTTTCGTTGTCTCGATTGAGACGTTGAAGAATCCTGTCACACATTTAAAGACTTTGTTATTTGATGTGCCAACTGAGTTTGCACTTAATGAAGCGCTTTTTGCTTGCTGACATGGAAACATCTTAATTTCAAGAGGCATCCTGAATTGATGAATGATTTCAACGAAAGAGTTAAGAAAAACTAGTTTATTCACTCCAGATTTTTCAGATTCTCTAGAAGTTCAGATAAAAAAATATAAATTTTTGTCTGTAAACCGCTCTCAAGCAAATCGCATGTAAAAGATGAAAAGAAGGAAAAAGTCATTTTGATATTTGAAAATAGCAGAAAATTTGCTTTAGAAAGTCGATCGATCAACAGTTGGCAACTTACAACCGAGTCTTTGAAGATTCTTATTGCGGATGTTTTAAACAATTTGAAGTTAAAAGCGTTTAACTCAAAATATACTGAGAGACAAAACGTAGTCATTGAAAACGTGTCAATTTTATCTAGTTAATTTATCAAACATTTCGATGATATTTTCATAAATTACGGTTTATTGAATGCCTATACATATTCAGTAGCTTTCACGAAAATTGAACTGAAGAAATCACGCTGTGTAAATGATAATCAAAACTTAAAATCTGAATGCAAAAAATATTTATTGCCCATCAAAAACATAATAAAGTTTCAAGTTAAAATTAGGAATCAGACATCCATTGTTGTTTGTCAACCACCTCTTGTTTCTATATCGTCCCTGTGTCTTAAGCATAATATGCGCTTCCCGCCTTCTTTTTAAGCATTTTAAGTTCTTGTTTGCATCTATGAGCTTTTCTACTTGGGCTTCCCAATATTGTTGCAAGCCGTTCCTTATTAGCTGAGATTTGTAAGTTATTCTTGTGGTCTATTTTCTCTTGAAAGTGTATTTCTTTGTTCGATTTTTTCTTTTTGTTTGCTTACTGAGTTTTTATATGCTATAATATTATTTGTGAAGTGATGTTTCTAAGTTAGGAGAAAATGTTTCAGTTAGTGATATGAAGTTACACCCACCGTTAAAGATTATATATTTAGACACAAAAAAACTATCATTGGCTCTTGAAAATATAAGCAAGTTTTAAGTTCGGATTGGATACTTCATTTGGCAAATTGCAACTAGACGATGGTGAAGCTTTATATTGCAGTTCGAGACTTCCATAAAATAAAGGCTACTCAAACTCCTCAAAGCAGATCCAAACCAAAGTGCTCTCAGGATATTATTTAGTTTTCAAATTTTCGAAATTTATTAAACTGTTATTTGGACTATTCAACGTCTTGATCCATTTGAAACGTGCCAAATTGGATAAAACAAGGAAAAATCTGACTCGGCCGAAACCAGTGTTCGAGTTTGCGAATGTCACTTTCATTACTGGTATTGTGAGTTCGTGACCGCCCATACCGATGAAGGTGATAAGAGCTATTTGAACTTGTTCAAAATTTACTTGGAAAATTCCGTTATCTTTCGCCAGCAGCGACGAGGCCCTTATCTTGATGCTATGTCGAATATATGAATTTTAATGTTGGACTTAAATAGCCCATTTTCACATGGGTGTAAAACTGCAAACACCGGTTTTTCTGTGGCCCAAATTGCGCATAAAATCATGTAAATTTTTCAACATGCTGATAATTATTTTTGCGCAATTGTTGAAAGCCTGTAAGCGTGCATTAAATCACTTACCCGATTGTTCCCCACTGAGCTGTTTCTGGTAATCGTTATCCCCGTAGAGGCCATCCACCAGTTGTCCGAGCCCTCCTTTCATGTCTCTACCATCTAAGAGGCCGTCATAGCTAATATCCTCCAAGTCAATATCCGGCTCTCTAATTTCTCCCCTTGGCGCTTCGTAACGCAACACGCTTTCTGCAAAGAAAGAAAGTCTTTAAAATTTTAAATGTTACACTATTGATGATTTGCAGATATTTTATGGGTTTTCTCGTCCACCTCTGGCTTACTTGCCATAATTTATGATATTTTAAATACACAAGTAATCGACAAATATTCACATAATGTTCTTTTGATGGCTTGCCAGACCTCTACACCTAACCCATCTGGATTATTTCTTCACTCCTTATTTGAAAGCCAAACTTTAGCAGCAAAAGAGTTCCAAAGTGCTAACCATAAGAAAGAATTGAACTAAAGAAGTTAAAGAATTTGTTACAAAAACAAATTAAAAAATGGATCATTTGCACCTTTTCATTTGCCACCCTCTCAAAAATTTGTCTGTGGTGCTGAGAGAAACATTGACTAGCAGAAAACAAAAGGGGCTAAACAGCGCTTCAAACAGAAACCAAATCCCTTGTAGCAATTAGAATGTATGCAGTTCCAAAGTTAGGACAAATTTGGCGGTGTGAGGTTAATTTTGTTGAGAGGTTCACGTGTTATTTGTGAGGAAATTATTTCTCATTTCCTTCAATATTTTGATGTACTGTTTATTATTTCCAGTAACAAAAAGTTCCAAATGTATTATTCGAAAATTTGAAATGTTTCATTTGGCCTACTTTAAATTTAAAATACTAAAAGCTCCATCCGAATAATAAAAAATATTTTTTGATTTGTGCTAGAAATAAACAAAACGACGATTGTTTAAATTTTCGGCCAAACTGTGCATCGTCGCATTTCCAAACATTAATTTGCATCAGACGGATGGAACACGGTATCAAAAAGTTTCAACTGAATCGTTTAAAATTCAATCAAAACTCATTTCTCCCTGGATTTTGCCGCGACTCGGATTATTTTCGAAATTTTCTTTGATGCCATCAAAAAGCTCGTTTGGCCAAAACGGCAATTTAATTAACCCAGTTTTAAGTTTTCCCATATTTCCCTGTTGCATTTTTTTGCCCGGCCTCAAAATGGAAATGTACCGGAAAATTCCAAATCAGTTAACCGAAATCATTCCTATTGGGTTTTGCTGGATAAAATTCGCCAAATCATAGAACAAAATAAGCAAGTAGCACGTTTTGACTACGGGCAATTTAAGTTCGGCCGAAGTAATTACGACCCTTTTGCCGCCCGATACCTTTTAAAAGCACATTTTTGATCAATAATTTGCCTCAATTGGATTACGAAGAATAAGTAATGGGTGCTGTTATTAAAGCCATGCACATTAGTTAACCTTTTGTGAGCTCATTCCGAATAGGAGCAAGTAAGTAAGAAAACGGTTATTTTCCAAGACAGAATAATCTTTCCGAAAGTAATATGTTGAGAAGATTGTTCAAGAGTTCAGTTATTGCTAAAAAAGTTTAGTTAGAAACGAGCCAAGAGTAATCAGCAGAAAACCGATAGCAGGAAAACTAGACCATCCCAGGTCAAAGCGGTTTTCTTGAAAAAAGAGACATTTTCAAGTAAAAAAATACCAAAATACCAATTTTGTGTGTCTAGCCTAAAAACAATCGAAGCCACAGATAGCCCATTAAACCCTCTTGAATTGCTTATATTCTAGACGAACTGGACAAATTAAGGGCCTGCAAAAGTTAAGTTCATTGGTTTATTAGCTTTCGCCCCAATCCAAATCAAATCAAACAATCCCCATACATCATACCGCTCTAATATTTATTAAATTTCCCATCCCCCGTACGTTTGGAAACTGCGGGAACGAATAAATTTATTTGAAAGGCTAAAGCCGCACCGGCCACCCACTATTTCGATACAGAGCGACGTTTATTTATTTATTTGCTTACGAGGCATTTGTTTAATTCGATTGTTTAAATATTTAACAAATGCCGGTCCCCTGCTTGATTTTTTGGCGGTTTAGAATAATAATTCGATGGCGAAATAACGTTGTGCATTTCGAAAAAGCTTCAATTACTCAAAGGCATGAATAAAAACTCGATTTCATTATTTATGAAACGTGTTCTATTAGTAAATATTGGGGCGATTTAGTGACAGTCTCAGACATTTAATTCTAACGATCATTGAAAGAACGGCTTGTGTTTCAAAATGAAATAAAGATGTCTAATTTTCTAATCAGTTCAAACTAACATTAGTAAAAAAAATACGAAAGCTGTTAAGTAACTTCAGATAAGTTTTTTCTAATTTAGAGAATGGCATAAAGTAGAAATCCCAATTTAAAAGTACTTATAAAACCAGCCCTAAATCGAAAATAAATTAATTTGGGTTTTTCGCATGCGAAATAAATTTCGATAACATGGCAACTACAGCAGGAGCTTATTTTAACGTATTTTTCAAGTAAAATAAATAAACAGTGAAAAAAATTAGCACGAACTCACACTAAGCCACTCAATAATCACTTGATTGCTGATTTAAAAGAGGTTAGGATTTTTTTTCAAAGACACCAAATAAATCTCATCAAGGAGTTTTAATATGTCTAAATAGACTTAGTGTGGAGCGGGTGATTAGCCTGATACTACATTACAAGGTGCAAGGAGCAAAATGAATACGGGTTTCATAATATAATTTTTCAATATCAAAGTTTAAATAAAATTTGGTTTACTTCGAATAGCTTCTTAACTGGGTTTGCTATTAACACAGACTTTTGGGGTTGGTGATTTTTCCAGAAATTCGATTTTCCCCACGATTTGGCTTGAAACATGCAAAAATTCCTTAGCAAAATGGAACTTTTCTGTCCCTTGTAATATTGATTTTTTTGGCCACTCCCTATTTTCTGATGTTTTCTGCAGAAAAATACGAATGTTGGTGAAAGACGGTATCTTGTCGCATGATCGAGATACTTTATTTTGAAACTTTCAGTCGAGCTTTCAGTGCTGATGACATTAAAGTTATAATTTTTTATTAATTATTTTATTTTTGTTCAATATACTTTTGCCAGTGATTCAGTACTTTACTTTCAGAATTTTTTTTGCTAAACAGCTCTTGCTTTGGATTTGTTTTGGGTGCGTTTGCACTCTTGCTGGTTTCTCGTTTCCTTAAATCATGTATTATGCAAATCAAAACAACCATGAAACTCACTCTACAGATCAATTCTCTTGTTAAGTTTTTCAATTAACATAACCGTAATCTATTAGCTGAATTATGTTCTTTGAAGAATCAAGATCAGGCTCATTGAAATCTGTTGAATTATCTGTTGGAGTCAGGGAAATACGGGTCAGAGATGTATAAAGGCGGTCGAGTTTCTATCTAAAAGTTGGCATCTTTTGTAGTTTAGACTGACAATGGCGAGCCGGGTTTTAGTACTCAGAAGCAAACAGGAGCTAATTAAATATAAACACACAATGGGGGCCCTTTATCTCGCTTTGGAAGAGATCTCCGAGCAATATTACGTTTTCGCATCTGTTATCACAAGTTAAACATCCATTTTACAGTTGGTTTGTTCTCTTTTTGATGTGGCATTGAATTTGGCCAATACGTATTTTTACCAGGGTTGGATTTTATCAATTCACCTCTGCTGAAAACAATTCCGACCGATTTACGTGCCCCTGTAAAGGATGAATTAACAGCAAACAGAAAAGGTTCGATGGAAGCAGCTGATTTTTTCACTTTCCAGTTCAGGAAACTGTTCCCCATAAGTTTTCGTGGCCATAAAAGTGGTCTTTCGCCCGCAAGAAAGTGGTTTTGAGCCCCCGCACAATTGACTATTTTCCAGCAATATGCACAAAAGTGGTTTTTAGGGGCCCTCGGTTAATGGCCCAATGCTTTCTCGCACGCTTGTTAGGCCTCTAATAAGCGATCGTAATTTTAAATTGAGGATTGTCTAGAGGATCGCATACTTTTACTACCAGTCGGGACCGTTGAGGAGGTTTTTTGCCAGCGAAAGCTATATGCGGTTTGGTATTGGTTGATTCAAGTGTCTTTGAAGCTTTTTCATGTCTGTGGCCATTTTTATCATCAACATTTTCAAGATTTAGTGTGAACTGTGGAATATATCTTGGAGAAAGTAATATTCGTTCTATGATCAATCTTTTTCACTGGTGTTTTATGTCACATACTGACTATTTCGACGATATGATGGTTACAAGAGCGGATCCAGGGGAGGGGGTCATGACTCCCCCATTCAATTCTCTATCCAACGATGCCAAAACGAATTCTGTAGCTCGAATGGTTCTTGAGAAACTTCGAAAAAAGCAGCGTCATGTTCAAGTGGATTT